ATGTCATAATGCGCGTGTTCGTTCATGCCCACCAGAACGCTAGCGACGAAAAGAAGAGAACACGCATCTCTTCCCTAACAGGTTACGGGTCAGGCTGCAGAATCTGGCACGTAGGCCATTCCGTCGCTCCATGTTTTGTCCCACGTTGCTTCTGCATGCTTTCTGCTGCCAGCGACACTTGCAGAGTTAAGTAGCAGGTTCTCAATTTCTTCCGTCCGAGCCGCATATCTCCACAAGGGTCTTTGGGAAGCTTGACTGGGCATGACGGACTTTCTGAGATCGTGAGTCTGTGACCAGGACGATGATGCAACTGTCCCGGGAGTCCTGGCATGAGCACCATCCCACATGCGCTACGAGTAGCAACTTAACACAGCAACTGCGGCGCTGTGTGCGCCAACTTTGTGGAAAGTGTGCTGATGACCATGACAATCGATGTACTGCTTCTTGTCGTTCATGTCTTGCCCATTGCCAGAGAAAAAAAATCCTATAGCGAGAGCTGCTGCAGCCGAGCTATGGACCTTGCTGGGCGTTGCGCACTACAACCCCTACGCCCTTCAACGCTCCGGCCTCAATTGCTGGCCCGCCTGCGAGGCTCTCCTGGGGGCAACTCGCAGGGCACATCTACATACAAACGAAAGACGACCCTTGCAAGCAAGGCAGGAAAGTTGCAAGTATGCTTAAATCATTAAAAGAAGTTGCAACTCGGCCTAGCTTCCTACCGGGTCTATCCTTGTGTTGTCGTTTTCTCGACCGCACTTCCTGTTGCTCAGATGCGTCGTTCACTTGCCAAGAACGTGACGCACACGCAGGGTGAGGCTCGCTGTCGGGTCTCAGGGTTCGATCATGCATCCATGCGACTCTCAGTCGAGCCAAACACACCCCACCCTTCCCCAAAAATTGAAGCCTTTGTGGCCGTGGCTCGAACTTTGCAGTCCTCGGAGTCGCTGCCGTCGCCTCGCACAACCGATGCTGCAGGTGCCGCAAGGTGGTCCGAGCGGAGGAAGCCACGGAAAACCACCGTCCTGGAGGGCGAGGGAAAAGAAACCCGAGGTGCTCAGGGCCTCTTAAGGGCTCTAAACAACAATATATCGTACAGACATATGTATGCTAAACGTACTAAAAAAACAGCGGGCAAGCCGGGCTCCGATGTTAACGTCCTTGGGACCCCCGGTACAAGGAGAAAAGTCACGCCTTCGGTTTCAAAATCCTTGAAGTCCGTGTGTGGCTGCTGAGGACATCTCTGCCTCCCCTTTCCCTGCTTCCCTCTCCCTCCCTCCCCTCCCCCCCCCCCCTCCCCCCTCGCCAATGTCGCTCGGGTATCTGGCACCAAGTTGTCCCGTTACCCACCCTAAAGCATGCAAAGCACGCACATGTGTCTAGCAAATATATACATATATATATATATACACATGTATACATGCATATACTTTCAAGTTGGAACAGCGTGTGGCTCCAGGTCCTCACGGAAGGCGCTAAGGTGTCTGGGTCCACGGTAGCGAGCTGTAGCTGCCTCATCGTGAGGTGAAGAGTGTTCTCGCGTGCTAACTTGGATGTGTTGGAGACGGGGGGGGGGGGGGGGGGTGGACCCTTGTCTTTGGCTATGGCAAGTCTCGAGCTGTGATTTCGGAAGTGCTGTAGCATTTGAAGAACAAGACAACCGGCTTCAGGTGATTTCGGCAAGCAAAGCGGGGGGTGAAACATTGCATGTCTCCGTCCCGAGCTTTACACTTTTAATTTGCTCAAGTGCGAGCTGCTTCCGCTTGGCTTCGCGCCGCCAGCGCTTTGGGCGGCGGGTGCCACCGTGATTCCTCGGCCCACGGCATGTGTTTCGACATGTTGTTTTGTGATCTTGTCTGGCAGGTATCGGTATCGAACACACGTCCCGATTCAGGGTGTTTACCAAGCTCAGTCAGCTAGCTGCGGGAATCTGTGGGTAATTCGGGGACCCGACAAATATGCATGCATATGCGCCATCTGAACAAGTGGATGATTGCGTCACAATTATAGAGAAACTGGCAGCTATGAAGATACCAGTACGACGACCTTGGTTGGCCAAGCGGCAGAGCCGCCTTCAATGCGGCCATCCAGGACACTGGGGCCACTAGCTTGGACGGCGCCGGACTGGCAGCCTCCTTTTTCTGCACTGCAGTCCGATTTTCCGAGCCCTACTATATAATAGCAAGGCAACTGAGTGAACGCTTGCTGTGCATGCAATGCTATTTAATTCAAATTCAAAGATGGCGGACGGACACGAATGAATCCGTGAACATTCCTACGAATGGCTACCAGTACCTGCCTGTCAACGCAGTTTTCAGTGCCTTTGCGAGGTCTGTTGGCCACAACCCAGTTTGAAACAAAGCTTGGGCATGCACGCAACCCCCCGTCCTTGTGCTTCCCACTCACCGACACAATCGTGGCGTCTTTGCCAGACATGGCCAGCCTCTTCCGCGAAAGCGGGTGCCAGTGCAGTGTGGCCCTAGGCCAAGGCCAGCATCCTTGGAAAGGAGGGCATTCCAGAATGTGCCAAACATGCTACGAGTAGCTTGCTCTAGGACACTAGCATCGACAAAGTCTCGGGACTCCTGAGAGAGGTCGCAGCCAGATGTCGTTGGTTCAGGAGTGTTATCGATATATATATATATATATATAGATATATTTTTTTATAAAGCCCCCAGGAAGCCGAGGCTCCAGTGAAGAAGGCCCTCCGCAGACCGTGTGCCACCATGCAGGAGGGTTCAAAGCATCAGGCCCCTTGGGGGTGAGAAGTTCTGATAGCCTGGTCGTCACCCTTGCCATGCCTAGACCCATCTTGCTGAAACCCTATGCCCTCGGTTCGAACTGCATGCTGGTTTCGGCCAGAGTGGGACATGTGTCTGCGTTCACGATTTCTCAAGCCAGGAGTGTGCAGAACAAAGAGGAGGAACGATGCAAACTACACGGTTTCTATACCAGCACCCGGCACCTGGTGAGTGCCGGCAACCAAGCACATCTCACTGCGTCATGCATGGCCACCCTAAACCCTAAACCCTAAACCCTAACAAAAAACGGGTGCGCTTCCGGTCCCTTACGCCCTCACGTCGCGGGCCCGAAAAGAAAAGACTTGAGCAACAGCGGGGCCTCCTTGGCTTTGGAGATTCTGGGCCTGGATGGCCTGGAGAACCTGACAGATTCTTGCATTTCAAATGAGTGAGGCATGACTCCACCTAGTTCCTTGTTGTACAGGTCTACTGACCAGCCCGATGAGAGGTTGAAGGGCCTGATTGCTTGGGGGGGGTGGGGGGGTGAAAAATGCTCACCTGGTGAGACTTCCGCTGCAATCAAGCATGCAGGTGTTTCCAGCATGGACCCGGCGGGGAAGCAAAAGACTGAAAAGAAAGATGGCACCTCTCGCGCCTGGTCAGAACTTCGAAACCCCTAAACCCTGAACCCTAAACGCCCCTTGCTGTCGGTGCGATATTAACCCAATGGACATCACGATCCCGGCCTCTGGGTTCTGGCAGGTGTGGACCCACTGGACCTCAGGCAGGGTTTAGGGTTTAGGGTTTGGGGTTTAGGGTTTAGGTTCAGGGTTTAGGTTCAGGGTTTAGGGTTTATGGTTTAGGTTTTTTTTGCCACCCGCCTAGCTGACTCAGAGAGACGCACTGCAGGGAACAACACACCTTACTGCTTCGCAAAATGTCGTGATCGACTATCCCAATTCCTAGACCGTGTGAGGAATTGGGTTTAGGTTTAGGGTTTAGGGTTTAGGGCTTAGGGTTTAGGGGAGTCTCTTGCTGAGGAGCACTTGTCTAGGATGGCCCTTAAAACCCACTGAAACAGATTCCTGAATGTGATCTTCTTGAACCCACTAAGGGAAAATATGAAACATCCCAAGGGCCTACCTAGTTGCAGGGTAGGAAAGGCTCCAGTGAGCCTACTGCCCTGCACCCTGTTTCAAACTCAAGCCTGCTGCCCTTTTTAATCGACCATCCGCAAGATGATGGATGCCGCCTCCCATCTGAGCCGTTGCTAGGGTTTAGGGTTTAGGGTTTAGGGTTTAGGGTTCAGGGTTTAGGGTTTAGGGTTCAGGGTTCAGGGTTTAGGGTTTAGGGCTGAGGTCTGCTGTGTCCGGCTCTCCAATATTCGGAGCTCCCAGAAGAACCTTTGCTTCTGGCAAGCCGGCTGCTCTGCCCCCAAAGCCCGTCACTGGCTGGGGCGCCGTAGAGGGCCGTAGAAATCGCCAACCACCACCACCTCAGCTTCTTGTTTGCATGGCAGGTCTCCACCATGGCGCAAGAAACCCGCAAATCAATTCTGTCTGAAATGTGCGCCAAGGAGGCCGATTCAATGAGCGGCCGCTTCCACAAGGGCGCCTGAGAGGAGGCTCCAAAGGAACATGTTGGCAAGCTGTAGGAAGCCTGTCCTGAATTCCTAGGACTTCGATCTTGGCTGATCAGAGTTGTCTAGCATAACAGCTTCTGCGTCTTGTTGTGCAACAGTGCTACACCTTGGTTCCCACACCTGATACGGCCTAAAGACGAAAACCTATCAATTCCATGCAAAGTGTGGCCTCGACGGAAGGTCCGCTCTCCGGTTGATCTGGACCACCAGAACTGTCAACTGTGGGCCTGCGTGGTGAACCGAATGATCCGGTGGCACACCAGAAAGCAACCTGAAACAGTTACTGATGTCATTCTCACCCTACACCCTACATGTCCTCTAAGAGCAAGCCTTATACAAGCCCTATGGGCCTTAGCGCCCCGCAAGTCTCTGACAAACGTCTTTCAAGATTAGTCTGATCAGTCTGAGTCAAGCTCGTACGACGTCAAGCCTCATTCTTTATGAACCATCGCCCTCGAAGACACCCAAAAACATCAGCGCACCCTAAACCCTAAACCCTAAACCCTAAACCCTAAACCCTAAACCCTAAACCCTAAACCCTAAACCCTAAACCCTAAACCCTAAACCTCGACACCAGCAAGCTGAGGTTTAACTACAAGAGCTCCGGCCCATGGCCTGGCCTTTGATCTGCTTCGGAAGCTGTAACTTCGCAGGCCGCCTGAGTACATCAGGGGTGTATGTACGATGATATGTATATATATATATACACATACATATATACATATACAATCATATACAATCATATACAATCATATACAATCATATACAATCATCTACAGTCATATACTTGTGTCTGTGCAGTCCTATGCTGATGCACATGTGTAGATGCCATGTGGGAAGGAAAGTTGTTGAAGCTCTTTGAACATAGTTTCTTTCCATTTCTTGCACAGGTGGCCTGGTCAGGGACGTAAGGCACGCCAGTGTAGATGAAGAGTCGGGATCCAGGCGTTGTTGACATTCCTTAGCTGTGACTGGCTTCGGGTCTCAACGCACACTTCTCGGGAGCAACACAAAAAAGACGTGATGGTGAAGTGGGTGCTTCTAGACGGATTTATCTACGATTTTTCTGGGAAGCTTTTTGGAGCCTTCTCAGTAAGTACTCCTAAACCCTAAACCTAAACCCTAGACCCTAAACTCCCATCCACTCAGTCCACCGAAGCGACGCTTGGCCAAGGGCGAGATCGGGAATCGCCATGATGGCTCCTCGAAGGAAGTGAGGTGCCTGCAGGGCATCTCTGAAGCCGCTGTACATGGGGGCCCACTGGGGGTTGATTTAAAGGCACTTCCGGGAACTTATTTAGGGTTCGTTCCTATGGGTTTAGAAGAGAGATACAATATAGGGACATGTTGGGGAACAGGTGTTTTGATCAAGTATCACCACACTCAGGGGCTGGCGCAACAAGCCTGGCAATGGTTCAACGCCACTGGTCACAATCGCTCGCAGCTACGGGGAGAAAGTGGTGAGCTTGCACAAAACCTTAACGACTCTCTTCATCTATAAGTATTAATCTTCATTAATCCTTCACGGTTTGGTGGTGCCCGATCTAGCGCTATCCCAGCCGCTCCTTAATTAACTAATTCTAGGAAGCGGCGCTACAGCCGACCTCGAAGTTGATGAAGTCACAGAAAAGACCAAGCAAGTCGCAGCAAACTCAATCAGTAAACAGGAGGGCAAATTAGCCTTCCATTGAAAACATGCACCACTTGGGTATACTGTAGCTTCTGGCTGCTGCCCTGCACCTCGTTGGAGACGAATCCAGCTCCTGTCACGGGCCCGCTGGTCGACTGATGTTGCGGCGAGAGCGGGAGCTGGCATGAGACAATCGATCGAGGGCGCATGTTGTCTTAAGATGTTGTCTTGAGTCCCTGCAGTTAGTGCGCAAAGCCGGTGTGAGGTTGGTGTACGTAGAGACAGTCATTCCGTGCCTCGAGCTGCTCACTTCGCAGCTTGAGGCTGGCCACCTGTCGCAGACATTGGGCTGCGTTGGCCAAGCACGGGCTAGAATGCAGCAGGGGGTTTTGGGGGCAGCCAAGCTGTCTTCTGGATCCAGCAAGCAAGCTCACTAAAAGTCTCTGCATTGTAAGCTTGCGTTCGAAAGCCTGGTGGTGGCCGTCAGCCCGAAAAAGGGTGATGCGGAACATCAGGGCATCCTTAGGTCAGACGAAAAGACTGGGATGAGAAGCCCTGCTCTCAAAAAACTTGAGACGTTTCATGCTTCGGACGTTCAATCTCTCAAGTAGTACTCCTGCAGCTTGGCAGCCAGTCCGTCCAGAATCTCCTTGCGGAGTGAGTGCAAGGAGAGTTCGGGAAACCCTCAACGCAGAGGCAGTACGGAAAAGAGGAGGGCTTTCCAGTACTTGTAAACGTGTACTGCCGAGGAGTAAAAGCAGGCACTTCCAAACGCAAGGATCCGAGAGAAGGCACGCCCAAGACTAAAGGCAAACGACCGCGAACAATGGCAAACTTCATAGCAAAGGATCGCAAGCTCATTGAATGAATCAAAAAATGTCAAAGTCGCTCACATCGAAAACTCGGAGAAACAAAAACCAAAAAAAACAAACGAGCCAGGCTCCAAGTCGAATCTCGGAGCAAGACCCGAAATCCTTAAACATGTTGCCGCTTTTGGCCCGCATGTTAGTACCCCTAAGCCCTAGGCTCCTGGTGGACTCGGATGCTGTTCACCTGTCGATTCATAGAGAGGTTGGGGAGCTGAAGAAAAGGGTAACGACCTGGCACCTGTGGCGTCTCATGCTAGCCTGTGTGGCCTGTGCCGCTTGTCGTCTGGCTGAAACCTCATGCATGGCGAAAGGCTGCCTCGTCCCGCTCCTCGAAAACCTCGCACAGCACCTGCAGATCCACGCAAACAGAGGATGCAGTGGTTCTTTTTACAAATTTGTTGCAGCTTCCCTAGGCTTGCACCTGCCTTGTCTGTGAAGATCCCGAATTCCCAAGCGATACGAGTCCATGCGCAATTTCAACCCCTGGATATTGCAGTTTCTGAATGTGGCACGTTCGGCTGCGCATTCGACTGTGTCTCATCCATGCTGTCTTGTTGCACCCTCTGCGTCATACAAGTACCTTCCCTGCAGAAAACCTGAGCGACAAGGCACAACACGTGCACCACACCGAGTAGATGCAGAAACCCATTCATGTAAAAAATCGAGCTGAATGCTTCCAAAAAACAATGCCGAAACCGCGTATCACGTCGCTCATGGCGAATGGCGGGCATGTGCACATTCATATATACAGTTGTGTATGCGTATACTTGTTTACCAAGCTTGCGCATATATGAAATTCTATAATATATGTATGTGTGTGAGTGTTTATTGGAACACGGAATACTAAACTTGCCACGACTATTCTGACATCTCTGTCGTTGACAAACCCTGGAGAATGAATTGAATGAATAGGCACCATGTCAGCCACGATCTCGTTGCGATATTCGATGAACATGCGCACCAGGCGGGCGTGCCGAGGGTCCTGGCTGCGAGAGCTTCCATCTGTAACTTTGCAAAGAAACATGGGGGATCATGGGGGTTTAGGGTTGGGATGTTGCCCCTTATACAAATATAGGAGCACGATGATCACTATTGAGGACTGGTCGTATAAGGAGGAACATCCCAAGTTTAGGGTTTCGACTTTAGGGTCTGTTTTTTGCCACTGACAACCGTCCTTGTCACTCTGCAGGGGTCAAATCAAGGCAACTTTGAGACAGACAAGTTTAGGGGTTTCGGGCTTGGACACTGGCCACTGTTGAACCCTTCTTTGCGTAATGCTCAAAGTAAACGGCCGTGGCACGGCTCGAAACTGAAACAAGCTCCCGTCGGCCTGCTCGATCCCGAAGACGACGCCTCTGCCTCCAAGCAGCTGCACATGCGACACGTCTGCCGAATGCTGCCGATTTGCCTAGAGTTCCTAGGTCAGAGGGTTGAGTGTCTGCAGAATTTGTACCCCAAACCACAGAACCAGTCCATGAAGCCTTCCAGGAAAATATCTTGAACAACTTACATTGCCAAGCAGCTGGGGATGGGCGCGGCTGCGCGGGCCCTGCCCAGCTGCAGCGACTGGAGGACGTCTTGGGCACAGCTGAAGCGGAGGATGACACCTAAGGGTTGAAGGGTGCCCGCTCACCACCCCTAAACCGCCAAAAAACCCTCTGATCGCCCTCCGGAGCATTTTTGGGATCTTCGCTTCAGGGTTTGGGATGGAGGGTGCGAGGAAAAACCCTGGCTGGTCAGCCTGACTCTTACACGAAACCTACGAGGAGTCCAAGCCCTCGATATGCCAGCCCGGATGCAGCTTTCCAGCGCTTGAGCAAGTGTCCCCTGCAGCTGAAGGCGGACCGGGCACTGCCATGATTTCGGTATTCGTAGCAGGCTACAGGATACCCTGGATCTTCCAGCCTGGTAGTGCAGGTAGATGGGCTCGACTTTCATGGCCTGCTTGGAGAGCCAGAACCTCAAGTTTTCAGTTCCCCCGATGTTGGAAATCTTCCATGACTTGCATCTTGCATGCCCTTCGCTACTATTACCTGTGCTTCCGTTTCAGAAGTGGCGTGGTTTAGCCTGGTGGAGTAGCGGTCCACGCGCTGGATCGAGCTAACCTTCGGCAGCCTCAGCACCTACCATTCCAAGATTATGTTTGGCTTGCCGCCCAAGTGCTTAAACAAATGGCTTCTTCTTGTCAACTGCGGCAGCATGCTGGACTGCCAATCACCAACCAGACGCATCACGAAGCTAAACCCTTTTTCCTAAACCCTAAACTCTAAACCCTAAACCTTAAACAGTATTCTCGTCCCAGGCACTCACCTGACAGCTTCTCTGGGTCTTTCCTGGGCGACACACGACCAACCGCCATGTCGTAGACCTGTCCAGGAACGGTGGGGGGAGGGAGAGAGATTAAGTGTTTTCTGGCTTCCGCCATAACTGGGTCAGTGGACACGAGATGTCATCACTCGATGTCGCTGGGAAGTCTTCAGCTGGCTGAGCTAGATGTGACGTCATGTCTATGGTCCTGACCGTGACCGTGGCCATCTCGCAACAGCATGCTACATCCGAAGTCGCCTTGTGATGCCAAAAATCCGAGGCTTTTGAGGCCTCAGATCCCCAAAGCGCGGCTACAATTTGTGGCATGGTCTCTTGAGCCTTGGGATTTTAGCATGAAGCTCTGCGACTCTCGGATTTGCCGTCCCAAGAGGCCGAGAGTGGCTCGCTGCCGAAACTGGCCTCCCAAATTCACTTGCAGGGCAGGCCCTCTCAGTGAGCCTGTAGCGCCCGTCTCATACCCACCACCACCACGACACCCTGAAGCCCTGCCTCATCAAGTCGACTGCGGGCATCGATGCCCTGGTCGCAGAGTTGTGACTACGGGCTCTTGCTTCTGACGTCGGCGTACCATGCTGCTTGTGTCGTGTGGCTGCGCTTTTGCGGCTTGGGGCCCTTGTAGACCTCTGGCCCAGCCTCAAAGAGCAGTCGACCCCAGTCTGCTCCCCTTGGCAAGCACAGGCACACCTATAAAACCAACATTGGGACGACGTTTATGGGGTTATGGACCCGCAGAGGGACTGCACTAACCCAATGAAAGGGTTCAACCAAGAATAGTGCAGAGAGGCCCAAGAGCCTTGCCAAAGGAGCGCCGTAATTAGGAGGATCCTGCGTTGCTTCCGACAGGCAGGTCCTGGCTTCCATTGGCAGGCTCAGAGGCATCTAGTCCTTGCCAATATATGGTGCCCCGCCTCCCCCGGTGCATAACATTATAGTGACGGACGAATGTATTTCTGATGCCTATGTCATGAAATATTTATATGTGTGTATGTGTATATATATATATATGCATCTATGTCATGTGCGTGTGTGCTATTCTCTCATTGGGTCCTGCAACACTGCGAGTATGGCATCTCGGTTTGTGCATCGTTTATGTAAACGGGTCGTGGACCTCCTCCGTTGTATAGGGCCTAGCAGTATAACCTGAAAGGAAGCAAGGCCACACCAGCTAAACACACCAATCTGGGTGTTCATGGCCACTGCCAAAAGGCAAGGCGACTGGAATTCACTCTTGAATCTTGATTTGGGAATGCTTAGGGAACAGCTTGTTACATACAATCACTGACCTTCTTATGTACATTTTGGCGGCTGCCGCCATGTCTTCCACATTAGTGACGGCTGGGTCTGCCGTCGCTGCTGCTCACTTCGAAATCATGCACTGTGCCCTTTTGGGAATGCAAATCAAGGTGCTCGTCAAGCTGCGCCCACCATTTGAGTGAGACCTGGACAGAATAAGGACCGGGAGTAACCAACATACATTTGCGGAAAGCAGCATCCCCACTACTTGTGCGCTGCAAAAGGTCTACGATTTATTGTCGTGCTTCCCTTAGTCTCGGGTTTCAAACTGGGGTCGCAGCAGGCGGGTGCGCGACATGCATGGGCTCCTCGCTGACCACCTTCTTTCAGTTGCGGGTGCACAATTCCCCACTGGGCACAGTTGGTGCTGCGATTGCTATGCCAGGCAGGGGTCTAAGGCATGTCTTTAGCAGCTGGCCCTCTGCTCATAAGGCGCATAAGCACTGGACATCTAGCCACACATTCCGCACTCAGGGGACCTAAGCTAATAACACTCGTGGTTCAGCGATATTGCTGAGCAGCATTATTCTGCTTCCATTCTGACATTCAACTTACGCCTTCAGATATCTTCAGATGCTATTCCAGCAGCAACTTCATGCCAGGTCATATCTCTTGCTGCTTGCACTGGGCCCTTGGCCAAGTGCTGGAGGTAGGCGGCAGAGCCCTCGCCCCAAAGCTCCGAGGCTCCCAGGTAGGCGCGGTGTGGTCGCAGGAAGTTGTTGAAGGTGGTAAAATCTTGCAATCCTTCCAGGGAGTAAGGGTTTAGGGTTTAGGGTTTAGGGTTAGGGTTTAGGGAACCCAGCAACTCAGTATGGAGCTCTCTGTTGACCAGAAGGGGCCACAAGTGATGACAATCCCTCTGGGTGACCGTCGGAGGCTATCTGCTTGCAGCTTGGAGATCTTGCCTTCTCCAGTGCATAACTGAATGGTACCTCCCAGCCGAGCTACGGGTGCGGAGTGTCCATGCCCCTCGCCGGGAGACCGCGACCTGCATAGTCTACACGGCAAATGAGCATCATATCACACGTGTTGAGGCAGGTACGAGCTTGAATGCGTTTGTGTCCATGCAAACATTTCAGAGTGCATTTCTTTTTTTTAAGGGGGGGGTGGGGGGTAGAGGGCGCCAGGCATAGCTTCCACTTCAAAGGCTTTCTTGGGCAGCCCACCCAATGACGCACGCCAGGCCTCAGAGCTGGGCATGGCATCCACCGTGATTCCACGGAGGATGACATCCTGAAATGCTAGTGCAGGATTTCGGGGGAAAAACCGTCACAAAATTCGAAAAAAAACCCTTTCTTACACATGACATGCCAGGTGCCCGCGATTTGCGACGCTAACCAAGTCTTGCAACTTCTGCTGTCGGGATCTGTGCACTGTTGCAAGACGCAGTGACGTCCAGGTTATGACTTTTGTTTCGGTCTAGGGCCTCCCTTCTCAAGGCTTTAGGATTTAGGGTTTGTTTTTGTTGCCGCTTAGGGTTGAGGGGTTTAGGGGGTTGCATTTGGGATCTCGAGCGCCTTGCGGAAGAGTATTGTGCCAAGAGTCCATCTGCACGTCTTGGCCGCCTTCACGAGGCACGCTGGGCAAATGTTTCAAAAACAATGGAGACATGCCCACCCCAACTACTGCACGACGCATGTCTTCCAGGTTTTTGCCTTTTGGCCACCTAGCTGAATGTAACATCGCACTGGTTTAGGGTTTAGGGTTTAGGGTTTAGGGTTTAGGGATGCTATTGATGGCAGAAGGAAAGGGCAAAGGTGGCTTCCTGGCTTGAGGGTCTAGGACCATGCCCGGCTGGATGCACCAGTACACGTTGCCAATATCGACAGCTCAAGTCGCTTTCTCTTCTAATGCTTTTTGCCAAGCACTTGCTTGCAGTCTTAAAGTCTCTTGAAAGCTACACGCAACCCAGATCTGAAAACACAAGCCCACAAGCCCGGACTTGTTCAGTTCAGCCTATGTCCAGGGTGGAAAAGTCCAGAAGGAAGTCTTGCGGATGCTGAATGGGTCCGAAACGATCGCCGACAAGGCCGACCTTGAAGCCGATGTGTGTAATTAGATTGCATCGAGTCAAGCACTAGGGTTTAGGGTTTGGGGTTTAGGGTTTAGGGTTTGGAAAAAAACGACGGCGTGATTGTCTTTACCCAGCCCTGCCAAGTTGGTTGAGTCAAGGAGGGTTCAAGGCATTGTAAATCTTTGCTCCTAATGGAGGGTACAGGGCTGACTCCGCTGTGATGAATGCGATCATGGTGGTGGGGCTGGAATGATCATGGATGTACGCTCACAAGGAGTGGACACGTAGGCTAAAAAAGTGCCACCAGCACAACAAAGAACTTGCTTCTTGACTCATCTTGGGCCACCTCGCCAGTCGACAGCTGCAGCGATATGCCTCGGTTGGGCGCAAGTGAAGCCAACCAAGCACTTGAAGACCTTCCATGCTTGTCCGTTTATGAGACCGTAGGTTTTCTTCACTCTAAGTGCATCACAGGCACATGGGCATAAGAAAATCCCAGGAGGTGAGCTGTGCAGTTGGAGCGAGAAGTTCACGCCACACACAGTGTCCTCCGATCAAGTGCATGGAAGCGTTCTGTGCTGTTGCAGAAACCGTCACACCCTCCAACCGTACCAGGGTTGGACCTCTTCAAATGGCTCTCAAAGAGTTTCTCATGGTCCCTCAAGTCTCATGCTTGAGATCCTGTGCAGCATGGCCAATGTAACACCTCAGAACAAACCTAGGACCTATCCACATTTGGGAACTCTCAAAGATTCAGGTGAGCTGATGAGACCTTAGACCGCTGCTTAGCTGCAAGCTTGTCAGGCACGGCACGGGGAAACGCGAAAATGCTCGAGAGAGCGGGATGAGCGAGCCAGCCACCACCCCTAATATCGTAAACCCCCCATATTATATAAGGGACCATGAAACTTTGAGGACAGGTTTCGATGCTTTTTGCCGCTTCCCCACCCGGAACCCTCAGAAACACTCTTAGGTCATCTCCCGTCCCTCCTCCATATTATTAAGAAGAGGTGTTCTCTTCGTTCACACATTAGTTCACCGACGCATACAATAAAAGCCCCAATAAATATCAGGTCATCTCTCGTCCCTCCTCCATCTCCACAGCGCGCGTGCAGAGTCGAAAGGCCGTGCAGCGGCTTGGACCATCCTCAGGGGCCACAGAGTGACAGAGGGGGGTCAGGGGGCTAACAGAGGTTTGTTCGGCTTGTTCATGGCCGCTTCGGCCCCTAGCTGCCTAGCTTAGCGGTCTGCAGGTCCATATAGGGGCTTGCTGTAGGGGTTCAGGGAGGATAGGGTTGGGGCTGTGGGATGGCTTGACGGTTAGCAGAGCATGTGCCACCAAAGCCTTCAGGACTCTACACCACTCGACGCTATGCTGCTTAAGTCTTCTGTCTGTCCCTGTGACCACGGGGCACTCTCTGAGGCTCGTGTGTCATGGGCCCCTTCCATGTCCGGTCTCCGGGAAACAACGCGTGGCCTCGGCTGAGAAGAGTTCCTCACCGCAGCGGACGAAGATGCGGCCACTGAAGCAAATCTTCAAGCTCGGGACGTCGCCACCTCATGCACGCATTCATTGGCCTAACGATGACAGCAACACTATGATGCTCTCATCACGGGCAAATCTCCTTTTGAAATGGGAATCGATATGTGTTTTTTGCAATCACATGCGACAATGCGCCTCGCTACAGCCCCTCTCAGAATTGCTACTGTAGGAAGGCATCGTTGGAGAAGACAGCGCTTATACGGCTCCTTCGGCTACAGTACAAGCAGCTGCAATATCCGACAACAGCTTGCTGTGGATTCAGCTTTCTTGAATCATGGGCACCCTAAACCCTAAACAAAAAACCCTAAACCCTAAACCCTAACCCTAAACCCTAAACCCTAAACCAGCTGAGAGCGCCTTCGCGGATCAGCTCGCACCTGCACAGGGGTGGAGCCCCCACGGGTCCTGGAGGTCCCGCTATGAATGCTTTCCTTCTTGCCCTACTTTCACCTCTATGTTGCTGCCGCAAAATGGCGCCATCGACGCCGCACTCGACAATTTTCATCCCCCTGAACGCAAGACACCAATTAACACAGGATGTAAAACACCCGAAGCCAGAGCCTTACAAGTCAGCCCTACAGTACATCCTTCCAAAGCTCACTTCCCAACCCTGTAGGCCTGGATGGCTGCCCGGCCCCCGGCAGCGGATAGCCTTACATCTCTATCAATGGCTCACAGAGCCCGTAGAGGCTTTAACTTTCTTCGGCCGCTTGACGCTTCTTCTTGCGCTTTCCTGTTGGAGTCGGTTTAATGGACAAACCTGGCAGGTGCAGCCAAGGAGCCCAAGTTCGGTTGAAGTGCCTGCGTGGCTCCTTGCAGTAAGGAGGAATCAGGGCACAGAGACTGCGAGTGAGTCGAGTGTGTGAGTGTGCACTTGGCACACTGCCTCTGTCCATAAGTGGACCCAGGATCGAGGACTTGCATGCAATGCTGTGATCACAGAAGGACGCTCGTGTCCTGTACCAGCCCTAGCACATTTCCTACCACCCGTCTCCTGCCCACAGCGGCGTGTTTTCTGTAAAGTGGAACTCGTACGCAGCTTCTGCATGGTTCCTTACTGTGCGATCGGCCGGGTTCACGGGACCGTGCGAAGGTTGCCGAAGCCACTGTCGGGTTGGTGCAATGTTATGCACTGCGCACAAGGCTCACGTTGGGATGTTCCCCCTTATGCTAACAGTCCCGATAATAGGCATTATAGTACACCATATTGTGAACCCTGTTCAAGATGCTTTGTATTAGGGGGGAACATCCCAAGGCTCACGCGAAAAGGCCCTTGAAAACCTACTGCCATCAAACCAAAAATCAGCCCGAAGCCGACATGGCCCCACGTCTTGAACTTCCTGGAGTGAAAAAAAACCCTTCTGCAAAGGCTGGACCCCCCTATCTTGCACCCTACAGACCCTTTTGCCCTAAAGCCTACACCCTAAACCCTAAACCCTAAACCCTAAACCCTAAACCCCAAACCCTAAACCCCAAACCCTAAACCCTAAACCCCTAAAACCCTATAAAGGAACCTGCAACAGCAAAAAACAGGTCAAGGCCTTGCTTCCCAAGGGGCGGGGGGAGGAAGGGCGGGGTCTCGCGGTGGGAGCCCGGGCACTCAGCGAGGCGATCTACGCAGGAGGAGTTGCCCATGCCAAGAGGCGGGGTTACCCCTAACAACAATAGTAATTATTTGAAATAATTACAGTTATAGTCATAGCAATCGTAATCAAATCATAATACCAAAATCAGAGTTATTGTTATTATTACACAGGAAGAAGAATAAAAACATAAATGCTAGCAACTGATGCGGCCAGTAGGTCTAAGTTTCTTGTCCGTCTACCAGGAGTCACAACATCCCATCACATCAGAGACCACTTCCTTTGATGAACTGGCATGGTTTCTGCACAGTCTGCGGGTCTTCAGTTGGGGATCTAACTACTACCTGGCCTCCGGCGACATGCCAACATGTCTTGAGGCATCCCTTGAAGCTGATCTGCGGGTGCACATGAGCTTATTATTATTGACATTATTAATAGTATGATTATGATTATTGTTATTATTGCTAGTATTATTATTGTTATCTTATTATGCTTATGATTACTATCTTGGCTGGCAGATGTGTTTTTCTCCGCAAGCGTTGCTCTCATTCGGTTTTCATGCAGGTTGGAAAAAGTTTATGTATTCGCGGCAACAGCAATGTGCGACGTGATAGTTTCTGGCGGCACCCAGTCAAATATCGACCTCAAGCGCCGTGAAAGCTCCCTTCCCGAAGCCATGGTCCTTTAACACACCCACCCCCCCACCACCCTCCTCTGTTTAGGCCTCTTTCAGATACCTGATTGGGGCATTGCTTGTCTTCTGTGTTCTTCCCAGGAGCTCTGAATGGCACCAGTGACCCAATACATCCACATGAAGCCTGGTTTAGGGATGAATATGAGGATTCTGAAGCTTTTCGCGTTTTCAACACAACCCTCGAGATACACTCCGATCATGAACCGTGGAGCCACAACACCCTGCAACTGCACCACAGACTGCCATCTTTTTTCAACTGGGCTGCAGTCTGCTACGGCTGTTTTCCACAGCCGGCCATTTTTCTGCAACAGCGCTGCAGTCTGCTACGTCTGTGGGTCATGTTCAGTTGTTTCTTTGACAAAAACCTTCCTTCCCGGCCCAGTCGACTTTGTCGACTCGACTTCGTCGGATCCCTTTCTCCGAAACTACGGCTTGAAGTCCCATGCGAAGACCTTGTCGATGGCTCGACCTTCCACCATACAGCGGCCAGAGGTCTCCTTTCGCGCAGGCGGGGGCATCTTGCTATCCACCTAACTGAAACCCTACACCCTAAACCCTAAACCCTGTAACCCTATAACCCTATAACTCTATAACCCTAAAACCTCAACGCGGAGTATTCAGCTGCACGTGTTCCCAGCCTCGCATTTGAGCTGGGACTGGGAATCCCGACCTTGCAAAAGACTCGCAGTTTGCAGAGTACCAGAGTGGTATACTCCCCTTAGAACCCTAATAAAAATAGTATTTTTAATATCCTCTTGGGTTGTACAAAAACAAAATTATAAAAATAATTCCCAAGGGGGATATAGACTATCAGAAGCACTGCTACCCCCCCCCCCCCCCACCTGCGCGACTTCAAGAAGTAATTCTGAACCATGAAAAACAAGCCCACACCTTCCCTTCTTTATGAACTCCCTAGAATCCCTAGAACCAAAGCATGATCAACAAAACAATGCCTCTTCAAAAAGCTGTGCAAGGTCTGTAACGGTAAGGCCCCTTAGCCAATCCAAGATCCCTCCAAGACCCCTAAACCCTAAACCCTAAACCCTAAACCCTAAACCCTAAATTCGATAAAAACAAAAAGCAAGTCGAGGGCGCAGCCTGCGTATCGACCCTAAGTTCGCGTGCAGCCCCTGTGCCATGCAAACTGTCACTATAAGGGCAGGCGTGGAACATTTTATAATTGGAAACCCGAACCCTTAAACCCAAAAAGAAACCCTAAACCCTAAACCCTAAACCCTAAACCCTAAACCCTAAAGGGTGGCCGAGTCCCTGGCGGTGGTCGCTTTGTTGCAGGAACTCGAGGCGTCGGCTTGGGCAGTTACCGCAGTTGATGCCCATGGCCTTGCACCGGTTTAGGGTTTAGGGTTGAGGGTTATAGGGTTCTAGGGTTCTAGGGTTATAGGGTTATAGGGTTATAGGGTTATAGGGTTATAGGGTTATAGGGTTCTAGGGTTCTAGGGTTCTAGGGTTCTAGGGTTCTAGGGTTCTAGGGTTCTAGGGTTCTAGGGTTCTAGGGTTATAGGGGTATAGGGTTATAGGGTTATAGGGTTATAGGGTTCTAGGGTTCTAGGGTTCTAGGGTTCTAGGGTTCTAGGGTTCTAGGGTTCTAGGGTTCTAGGGTTCTAGGGTTCTAGGGTTCTAGGGTTATAGGGTTATAGGGTTATAGGGTTATAGGGTTCTAGGGTTCTAGGGTTATAGGGTTCTAGGGTTCTAGGGTTTAGGGTTATAGGGTTTAGGGTTTAGGGTTTAGGGTTGTTAGGTTATAGGGTTATAGGGCTATAGGGTTATAGGGTTTAGGGTTTAGGGTTATAGGGTTATAGGGTTATAGGGTTATAGGGTTATAGGGTTCTAGGGTTTAGGGTTTAGGGTTGCACCCCGATCTTCCGAAAGGCCCCTTGGTTACTTACTTCTACAATAACCAAGGGAGAAAAAGGTTGAACTTTGTTATTCCTACTAAAGAAGGAAGTTAAGCAAGATTCAGGAGTAAAACCCTAATTTATACTAAGGATCATTGCTATGAATTAGGGTCTTCTCCTTAATTAGGGTTTAGGGTTTAGGGTTTAGGGTTTAGGGTTTAGGGTTTAGGGTTTAGGGTTTAGGGTTTAGGGGCCAACCATCACAAGGCCATGAGGGACATCGGTCTGCTCCCCCGCCTTGGAGATGCCACACTCACGGCCTGCAGCAAAAGCAAGAAACAGGAACATAGGGTTTAGGGTTTAGGGTTTAGGGTTTAGGGTTTAGGGTTTAGGGTTTAGGGTTTAGGCATTAGGAGGATGGTACCTATGTGGCTGTTCATTGTTTTCCAAGACCTTGCGTGGTAGCAGATCTCTTCATCTATGCGAATCTGCATGGGAATGCAACATCCGAGCCTATATCTCACACCCCGATTCCCCCCCCCCCCCCCCCACACACAGATTGAAGGCGTCGAGGCGGCAAGAGGTTGAATCAAAGCATGCAAGGCCGACCGTGAGGATATGTACAGCATGTGCGGTTGGCATCACTGCGTGCTCATGTGTTTGCAACGTAGTTTGTGCTTGCCATCAGCATGTGCCCTGCATGTTAAGTGTTGGGCTAGTGACTAGAGTCTTCTTAGGCCATTATTGCTGCTGTTATTCTTGTCCTTCTTGCTGTGCTTGTTACTGTTGTTGTTCTTGATGTTCTTCTTGTTCCGACCGTCATTGGTTGTTTGTGGTATGATTCGTCTTGTTCTTGTTGGTGTGGTGCGTGTCTGGTTCTTATTCTTCCTTTTTCAAGTTCTGCAGGGACAAGCAGGGGCAAAGCGTGACGAACGCAAATATGTAGGGAATCTGTAGCGAGTGTAGTGCATGAGGGTGCAGCGGGCCCTACAAAAACAACTCGCTGGGTCCTCTGTTGCTCCTTATCTCGTCCTTGTCGCTGCTCAGTTTACGGGGGGACAGGCCTTCGGCGACGCAGGAGCAGGATGTTGATTTCGCCTGTTGGACCAGCTGGCTCGAGTTGCTCGCCGCCAGCCTTTGAACAGAAGATGGAGGTCTCGGGTCACATCGGATCACAGTTACCCTACCATAACTTCCATAGCCTCTTCCATCAGCACCTGCCTTCACCTCCTTGTCAGTGTTCGTTTGGCTGCAGACTGCAGCGCCCAATTTGAGAAGCTCAGGTGAATCACATGGAGCTGTGTGGCACTTTTTGTGGTGTTGTTTTTGGGTGGCGCACCAACATCATTGCGACCGGGTTGCATTGATGGTGGCTTCAGCGCCTTGCACACGGAACCGTCGCCGACATACTTCCTTGCCAGGGCATGTGGCAGGAGGCCACATATAATATAAACCCTGCCCCAAGATCTCCAAGCCTCAACACCAAGACCCACCTCCGACTCTTTATCCTATATGGCCTCAGTACAACGGCCTGAAACCTGATCACCGCCGCCCTGAGGCCTTCTACCTAAACCGCTTGACTTGGATCCTCTCAATCACCTCAATCCGAATCCTCAACAATGCAGCCGGGGCACTTCTGAAGCTCCTCGAAGCGTTTCGTCGCTGCCGCATAGATCGCCTCGTCAACCTGCCGGCATGGAGGCCAGTTTTGGGCGCCGGCTTGAAAAATACAAGAGCTCGTCACTAGAAGGCTCCGGAAGAGCCTTGGTTCTACAGCGGGAGTTTTCTTGCTTGTGTGTGTGTGTGTGTG